TAGAAAAAAACATAAAAAAAAAAAAAAAAATCCCGGTAGGGCCTTCAGCCTTGAATGGACACCAACCGGGGGTCCATGCAACCCTCCTGGCTCTAGCCTCGGTTTCTCGCTCCCTTGCAAAGTGCTTACCCGTGCTTATTTTATAACCACGAAGTATGTCCAAATAGCTTTTAGATAGGTCTATTATACGCATTATACAGTGGTAATTACAATAATTGAATCAGCATTGGAGATGCTTTAAAATATGCATTTAATTAGTATAAATTACATTGTCAATTTTGCCTTAATAATTAAGTTGAAAGCTCGTATCTATTTGATCAGTATGTGGACGCCTACTAAAGCGGACCAATAACCTATATTGCTTTTTTTTTTCGAGTGTTCGATTCCATACCAATTCTGATATCTCCATTTTTGATAGCAACTTGATATGAGGCGGATTTTTACATTCAGTCAACATACCGGTACTACAAGCACACAGAACCGCGAACTTGGGTTGACGACAGACCTACTTAAATAATGCCCACATATATACATACATACATACATACACATAATACATACATAATACATATATACATACATATATAATAAATCTGTGCTTGTTGAATGGATCTGTTATAGTAGAGTACCAGGGGCGGATCCAGAATTGTATGGTACTTTACGTCACGGTACTGACCGTGCTCTTCCGGAGAGTACTGTACTGTACAGTGCTACAGTGCTTATTTCAGTGGAGTTTCTAGGAGTCTTGAATGGGGAAGGGGATGAAGGGGAGGCTGATGGGGGCGCGAAGGTGAAGATGGGGTTGGGAATCGATGATTAAGTGAGGGGTATAGCTCTCAAAATAAGGTGATATGAGGTGATTTTAAAATATTTTTTTTTGTTTTGCTTTAATCGTTTCCACTGGGAGAGGCGACTGGGGAATGTCTATAACTATACCAGTACCTAGATAAATTGATGTTTCTTTTGAATATACAATGCATTAAATGACTGTAAGTAAAAACAGTGTGCAACAACACCGTTATAATTCCCTATAATTATACAAACTTTTTGATATATTACATCAAACAGCTACCACAGTGTCTATTAACGAAAAGACTAGCGTAAATAAAGGCCTTCTTGTTTATCAATATATTATCGATGTTCGTCGAGACTTCGAAGATTATTCATCAATTATCTGCAACTTTTTTTTGCGTCATAGCATTATTGTCTGGAACACATACGCTGTCCTAAGTCACAGTAACGGTCGCTGTTGTCCTGCAATGAAAATATATGACGCAAGAATGACGTCATAAAATAATTACAGTACATTTGTGCGCTGTTTGCTCTCCTGGATCAAGAATGAGCCTGTACAATCTTATCATAAACGCTGTGCTTGTAGCCTATTGTGATTCTTAAGCGTCGG